GCTACCATTGTGAGCACAAACTAGGCAAAATCAGAAACAAGGCAGAAGGTAGCAAGTCAGACTACGGCTGACTGCCAGATCAGTAATTCAAAGTTAACTTAACACACAAGACAAGTCTAGGTCCAACAACGTTCATGAATAAATACATTAACCCTTGCAGTAAAAACTAGTAATGCCCTCTGCTCATCTGTAACCTTACTACAGTCTTGTTTTTATTTGAACAGCCAGCACCCCTGGGCTCATTTAAGCAGTGCTTCATTACTTAACCATGTTCAAAACAGATAAATAATCCCGTCCAGGGTGCATCCTGTCTTGAAACTTTTGCTTGCTGGGTTAGGCTCCCCTGTGACCCTGAATTGGATAGAAAATAGATAGATGGATAAAAAACTTTAAAATCTATAAAATCGATTAATAGTTACAGAAAGTGAACATTACACGAAGACATGAAACAGCACAATATCTGTTTTCAGTAATGGTGAGAGAAAGACAGGAAACTATCCTGAAAAGCAGAGGTTTGCTATTACCTCACCCACGACCACCGAAGAATTTCCAAGACACATGGAAACAAGTAGTGGAATGAGACAACAGTGTTATGGAGGCAAAATGATTCTTTTTTCCAAACCCTTCTCATCATTCTCATGAAGCATTTATAATATGAGAGGACTGCTGTTGGTATGGAATGCTATTTTGCTATATTAGCCTCTATCATTACATCTGAATGTTTTGTGTGTGTGTTTTAAATATCCATTATTTTTTCACTGGGAGGCTGATTTGAATATCCGCAGTGTTATTATGGCAGTTTTTTCAAACGTTATTTCCGAATGGGTTTGTTCGGTTAGCCCAGTGCTCTGCCAGAGCCTCTTGTCTGTTTTCTGCCACTTCTCAGTGAGGAATGCATTTCTCCACCGATGAGCTGTGCAGCAGTACAGCACATGACATTCTGAAATAGTGACTGAAATCCAAAACAATAACAATAATAACTATTACATACTGCCTCCTTTATCAATTTAGTTATCTTAATTTAATGCATAGGCCTATTGCATATGACATTTAATATCAATAAGACCAATGTTGTCTGTCACCAGCAATAACGGCAGCATTTATTCCTATAGTGTCATGCATTCAGAAGGTTTATTTACATTTATAACTACGTTATTTGAAATATTTCAGCAATGACCTTGAAAAAAGGAACATGCAACAATCCAGTTTAATATTCCACATAAATCTCGACTCATTCCACTGCAGGTACTGGAGATCTGCTCAAATATGACTACACTTTGGATGGCATTTTTTCAAAACCCAAGCATCCCTAATGTTTAAGACCTTTAGTGTTGAACTGAACTTTTCAGATAAAGCTGCCTTCACCAAACACTTGCCTATGGTAAATACAGTATAGTGCCAAAACCTTCAGCGCCATCATTTGTATGATGCTGATGCATCATATTTCAAATAAAACCGCAAAAAGGTCAGACAACAGTTCCAAGATCTTTCCTATGACCATTTCTTATGCACAGCTGTTTTTTTTTTAACTTTGTTGCGTTTTCCTCCCTTGGGCAAAAAAAGAACAATTATTTCTGACTGGTGGTGTTCCCAGAAGCGTGACAAGTAAGAAAGGTACTATGCACAATCGTACCAACATGGAAACTCAGAAAACATGCCGCAATGTCGGCTCATTTAAAGCAGCTCCAGAGCACAGAGTAACCACACTGCCTTTTTCACTAAAGCCATTCATTCTTCTATCACTTTAGCCTATAAGACTGTAGAGGTCACACCAGGTGTTCCACTGCTCCTTTCAGCACTGAGGGCTATAGTTCTTGGTTTCCTTGGTGAATGCCATGCATCATTAACAGGCTTTAAATGTACAAACATCATACCAGTTCCTCTTCACGCCCTGGTATTTTTTTATTTTTTTACACTGCATTCAAGCTTTGCTTCCCCTCACTTTTTCTCAGACAGCCTCAGAAGTTGTTGCCCTTTGGCTTTTAAGCTATAGGACAAACACTCAGAGTGGAAATGGATAGTTCACTCATACATAATTCAGGCAGAGTTCTGTGGTCCTTGAAGTCTACTAGAGAAGCCATATGCTTGGGAAGCTTAGGTAGGTCAATAAGCTTAATTAAATCTGTCTTTTTTCTATTTCTTCTTTAGGTTATTAGTCTTAAACTATATTCTTTCTATGACGTTCAGTTTACAGCTACAGTATGTTTAAAAACTGAATAAAAACAAATTACAGGCTTTACTGATGAACAACTTTACAGATCAGACAATGTGATGCTGCTGTTAGACTGCTCGGCCGGTAAAACGAAATGAATGAAGGTTGTCTGAACTAAAAACAGGCTTTCTTGTTCATTGGCTACAGTAGGTTCTCAAATACAAATTACAAACATGCCCTGTATATAAAATATGGTGTAACGTTATTTTATGCCTAGTTAGCCACAGTAAAGATTAAGCAGCAAATTATGAAAGTGCAGTTCAGTAACATTGAAAGATTTTAATACTATTTTGTGTTTTAAACAATATAATACTTTGAAAACAGGCAGGGTGATTTCAAAGGGTACTTGCTCAGAGTAAAGCATCCTTCTTGGTTTCTGGAAATAATTATAAAACTTTAGAATCTAAAATCTAGCATTAGACAGCTTACGAGAATCGTGGAAAGTATATTTCATTGTGTTTTTCTTTCTTCCGAACATGATGTTGGAAAACATCATGTAGTTTATTTGAAGTCATAAATCATTTTTGTGTTTTTCACCATGGTGTAGAGCCCTAAATGTCCTTCGATAACAATATGAAAAGCGTCCCAGTATTTTCCTACTGGCGACGGCTTAAGCTGCGAAGCGAAACGATCTGTGGCTACAGATGTACAGTATCTTCAGAGTTCTCAGCATTGGTTACAATTTCCAACAGTATTGGTCAGAAATGCTTCTGAAGCCAGGCTATACTGTACACCCTCAGCTTCTCTGAAAAAAAAACAGGTTACTGGCAAGTGTTTGTCCGGTTTACAAACCTCTGAAAATATCTTAAGGAACACACTGTGGTGCGAGGATGGAAGTAAGGTATATCTCTTAGGGCAATGAGCAGACAAGAACATGCAGAGACGAAGGTTAAAAGCCTGTGTTCTTAATCAATCTTATATTCCACTGATTTCAATGGAGGTTCAGTTCACACAGCTTTGCAGTGTCAGCTAACAATAGGTGCTAACTAGCACACGGAGCAACACTACGAGCAAGCGGGTTTCGTGTAAAAGTCAAACACAACAGCTGCAGATGAAGTATGGGTGCACTGCTGAGTACAGATTAGTAAATGAGTTACACAAGATTGAGGCTGTAGCTTTGCAATGATGAGGATACTGTTCGAGTGCTTCATCACACAACCGTTTCTCTACAGCAGGAGGCTAAGAGTTGCTTTTGGCAGAGGCCATCGGTTACTACACCTCTGTTGCTGCATATTGGTAGACCACTACATATTCTTTAGGTCTGAATCATTCAAGTTCACATTAGCAACTTTCCAAACTTCAGGATCATTTTCTTTCTTAATGTCTTTTAACATTTAATTAATTAGAGAAATTACAAGTGCTTTACATATAAGAGGGAATCGACTACAGTCGACTACAATCTATATACTGTAAACGTATTAAGTATGAAAAATAGATTTCTTAAGATTGCTTTCTTTCCCTGATCATACATCTTTTTAACCAACCAGCTGTATGTTTGTGATGATTCATTTAACTGTCAATTTCTTAAAAACAATTTTCTTGAAGTCATAAATTTAAAATTTCAGAACATTCCTCATTTTTGTCAGAACATTTTTGTGGTGTAACAGACATTTTTTTGAGGCAGAAAAATAGAAAAGTGTTAGGACTGGAATTCTTGAATGGTTTTTAATGCAAATTAAAAGGAAATACTGGTATTTACATTTTTTCAGGTGAAATGATGTGTTTCTTCTAATGAAATGATTACTGTAATGTTTAAGAAGCTGGGTTTCTTTTTTTAAATAGTTTAATTTAATGAAGTAAAAAACTATCAGAGCTAGAGAGGTTTACTGTACATACTGATGTGTGTACTAAGCACAAAGGATATATGTGATTTGAGATTACAGATTATTGTTGCTGGTAAGAAATTGAGCTGAATAATATTGTTTTCAGTACTCCCTGGATATTTGCAGATCTGAATTAAATGGATGATTACCTTTCCTGTATTTTAAAACAGCCATATTTATACAACATGGAAATGGACTGCGAAAAACCCACCATAATAAAATAATGTAGCACACTTCATAATATCGGGAAGCCCGGAGTTTTTCTTTTTCTAGTACTGGCAACTTATACTGTACATCTACAAAGCAAAATAGTCACAAGGGACAGAAACGAAAAAGAAAACCTTAGAAATTACCCAAAAACTAAAGAAAAACAACGTAAAAAAAGATAAGACGATACATTCCGATTCTGTGTAACGTTATTTCAAAGTATTAGGGTTAGCGCATTAATGACAATCCGAGACCATTTTTCTAAACACTGGGACTGTGGATTTCGTGTTCCGTGTCCTCTGGTTGTAACACAGACCTATATTCTGTGGAAATTCAAGACCACACTGGACCCTATACTCCTGTGCATTAAAGGTACTAGAGTATCGGTCCAGAGGTTTCATCGTCGGAAAGATTAGACTCATGCACCCGTTTCAACCGTTTTCCCTCAGATCCCCGACTTTTCTAAAATCCTTTGCTAGCAGAGACATAAAAGAACGCTGTTTCTTTAACTTGTGCTCTGGAAGGTAGCAGGGCATTTAAGGCAAACTGCATCGCAAGGGTTAAAATCTCCATGTGCTCGCTGTACAGGAAAGTGCTGTCTCCACGCCTCGCCATTTTATCCATGTCTTTCTTTGGCTTATTTCTTTCTGGTTTTTGAGACTTCCTGGTCAGAAGAATAGCATTTCTTTTTTTTTTCCAAAGAAAGAGAGAAAACCCTTACAGCAATATTCTCGGAAGGTCATTGTCGGGGGGCTTACCCTGGGTCAAATGAAGAAGGCCCCAAAACCGTCAAAAACTATCGACCCCGTCCGGCTGCAAGACCTGCAAGAGAGAGAGAACAACAAAGACAGTTTGTGACAAAGCTGACACGCTGTACTCCTGGAGGAGTGAAATCAATTGTGACATTTTTCATTTATTTGTAAATGCCTCTTTGGCGGCACACTCACTCGAAACGACAGTTTAGCTCTTACGGAATAAGCGAGGTGATGGTAAAATAGAAGAATCCTGACAGTTGCTTTAATGAGATTCCGCATTAGGGCCGCTCTCTCACACTTTCCCCTCGCCAAGGAGCGCGCCCTTCACTTTCAATCTAGCATCCCAGTAATTTGGAAAATGTTAACCCTCTGGAAAACTAAACTAACCCTTCTCTTAGCCTGGATCAGCCTGCCGTTTTTCTGCTCCCACTTCCGATTAATTCAGAAAAAAAAAACCCGGCATCACCCTCTCCTAGACAATCGTGCGCAACTTTAACAGAATAAAAAGTAAATTGAATATACATAACCCGTGCCTAAAACTACAGATCTAACACGTAAACTCTGCGGGACTCACTGTGTTATTGCACAACAAACATTCCACTTTATCAAGGGGCTCCTGCTTCTGCCTTTTAACCTTCACTGACACCTAGACATGATCTTACCTGCGATGACACAGCAGCCCTGTTGTCTAGTAGCATGCAATGCAATGCCATGCAAATAGCTAGACAAAACACTATACAAACTGCAAAAGGCGTTTATATATGTATAAAATTAACGACGCATTTTAACCTATCAATAAACTAATCAGATTGCCTCTTGAATTTCTAGGACAATTAAAAATATTTACATTTTATGTCACAAGATACTTTGTACACCAGTACCAAATTCTGCCAAGGTCAATTAAAATGCACCTCAAGATGGCTTTGCTCTATCTTTCTTTCTCTGGAAAAGGCAAAAGCCCTTTCAGTTACTCCGTAGTCTCCTTACAGAAATATTTGACAGCATCTGGGCTGCAGGATTTTTAGAAGCTCACAAATTTCTGAATTGTGCCAGGTAAAGCAGTTGGATTTTGCATTCCCCTGCACAAGTGGCACGCGAAAAAACATCTCGAAAAAGCAATGCTCCGTTTTAGGATGGATAATTTCGAAATAAGGTATTTTTTCCCAAACAGCGATCTCCTGTTGTTGCCTAGCGGAGAGCTGGTAGCTGTATTACGTACTGCAAAAGAACCACAACGCCATTTTCCATAAGGCTTTGTCCTTCCTGTGCCTCTCCCCCTTCATCTCTCTCTTCACTCTGTTAACCGTTTTCCCACCAGTGAGGCTGCTGGCCAGCGTCATTTCCTCAGTCTTGGTATATTTAAGAATTTTAAAATGTCACTAATATGCCTTACATTATTAAAATAAATCTCCATATTCTGTCGCACTAACGAAAATCTACCTTCCTAAAACATGAAATTTTACGACAAAAAGTATTCGCGCTATTTGAAATGAAATTCGCATTTCAGCTGACTGCCCTTCACTCTGGACAAGGAACCGGGACAATATTTACCTTGCTTAAGCATGCTGAAACACAATACAGGAACAGAACACCCTATCTCTAAAAGCTGCAAACGCAAATCTGTGTACCCAAAAACCCAAATGTTCTGGCACAACGAACAGCAAAAAAAAAATACTGCGAAGATGGAAAGATAAAAAACTGATGCTCTACCTAGCGAGCTGGGGCTTGGCATACCGAATTGTGTAAGCAAACAGATGCACAGCATGTAAAACTACAAAAAGAGGGCAAAAAGTGCATGCACGAAATCTAGAAAAATGCACAATGTTTTTAACGGAAAATAGTTTTCAGCCTAGCAAGTGTGTGTGGATGTGTACTGTACAATAGTGCAAGAAACACATCTTGTCATGAGCACTGGCAAGGCAGCTGCAAACAAACAGAAGTCCTTCTGATTGCTGATGGCAGCATTGCATTTGTATTTGATGAACTTTAGACCACCTAATGATAAAATAGGTATGTTTACTCATGTAGCGTATTCCCAGCTTGTTGTCATAGACGCAGATACTGTACTTACTCCAGATTCAGAATTCTGGTGCACCGCATACAAAACAAGCAGAGTCTCTGCTGGAAGACCTTCTTCCTTCATGAGCTTCCTCACTCTTGACAGACACCAGCATATTGTCTGTGTAACAGAGGAGTGGGTCTCCGAAAGTTATCACCTGCTAAAAGCCCTGTAATCCATGCTTAATTTGCCCCGGCCGGCACAGGGCTGGTTGAGCGGAGCACTTGAGAGCTTGGAAACCTCCCTCACACAGGAAGGTTATGCACCTCCACTGTAAATATCCCTTCACGATTCTTTGAAATATGGGTGATGAAGTGCTGGTAATGCCCCCAGGGTTCAAAATTAACACGGTATTTCCTCTGGCTGTCCACTGTGCTATGTGTGTGCTGTGAACTTACTTTTCGGCAGAATGGCACTCCTTTCAACATGTTTAACTTGCCTCAGCTGGGGACAACAGCAAGACCAAATGGAAGTGTTTCCACAGCAACGCGGGCTCCGGAATTACTAGCCAAAGATTTTGCTGAACACTCTTAGGGCTTCTGTGAGTAAAACACCATCATACCACCGGTACTTATAAATTATAATTAATTGCACTGATATGGCACTTGTCATCCCAAAGGATCCTAAAGCACTGCACATATAGAAGGAGACCATCGACCCTTAACTGTTACAAACTGTGACGTGGGAGCTGTAATGACCAAGCAGTCGAGACCCCAGTGTAATAGCTCATACAGTATGAAGGATGACTCTGCCCACAGCACGCTGTCTCCAATCACCATACTGGGGGTTGATTTGGAAATTCTGTTCCAGAGGGACAAGCGCCACCTACTGGTCCATCAACGCAAGCTACAGCAGCAGCCTTGCGCTCCCCAGAGGTCCCGCGTCCAAGTACAGACTTGGCCCAGCCAGGCTCAGCTTCGGAGATCTGAACGGATTCGGCTACATGGCTGTAAAGCTGCAGCGAGCTGAAGTTTTGTCTTCCAACTACTGCATTTCCCACACACCATTATGACTGGAATACTGTGCTGAAGAAGGCATTTTACATCCTAAATAACATATAGGTTTGCCTACAGAATTTCAAAACCCTTCTGCGCTGGGATAATTAGCTATTTCTTATGTCCATGCATCCGAATACCATGCTAGTTTAGTAGCTTGACTTTAATATTTATGCACCTATAATTCTAAATCATCCCTCCGTTCTGTTCTTCCATTCTGAATCACACATCACCCCTCAGCCATTCCTCAGGCAGCACAAAATAAACACCTGGCTCATCAGATGATTGCAAGTTATTTAGCTTTATGGATGTTTTTTTTTGCAAAACCAGTCAAACATCAAGTTTTAGCTGAGAAACACCAACTTGAAATACCCAACACAAATGAACAACGCCTCAAGATTCTACATAACCTCATTTTATGTGCGGTCACCTTTCCGTGTTTATTTGTGAGACCGTAAGAAATCGCAGCTGTTTTACCTGTCCATTTCTCTCAGGCGCCATTAACAGACTTTGCTCTGAAAGGTAAACATACTGTAATGGAGCCTCCTGAGTCAACTGACACTTGTCTCCATCTTTTCGGCAAGAGTATATTACATTTTATGTGTGTATGATGACCTTCAAAGTACCTCATTTGAGCCTGGAAATGTTCTACCTATACAGTAGGTGCTGCATGAGCAGTGAGTTATGTACTTAATTAAGCCAAAGTAATTTCCCTTCTAGATATCATGTCTCCTTCTACTGTATAATCCATCCTGCTGAGACAGAATCTAAATTTAGCCAGGACAAGTGGCAGGCTTTGAAAACTACTGAGCAAATGCAACCAAACCCGATACTGCTGAGCAAAGGCTAATTGATATTTTTTAATGCTAAATAAATTTATTTGAAGAAATAATATTGTGTTAATTTAAAATACAGCATTTGTCCTTTGGATGGGATCCCTAAGCATCTCAATGAATCTCATCATCAACCAATTTTATAACCCTCAAGTAGCAAAAATAAACAGAGCCACGTTGCTCTGACCAATGAGCATGCAAGGGCTCTGAGAACACCTGTTGTATTATCATCACAAGCAGGTTACATTATACAGAGTTGACTTTTTTATCTGGAAATGCCCTGACTCCCCATTTAGTTTTTAAAATAGTTTTCACACATAAAAGTGAACCAAGTTCAAATCTAGCAGAACAGCAGTTCCTATTAGAAACAGTTCAGCTGACTCTTTGGAATTTCTATTTAATGTTTCACAATACTAAAAGGGGCAAAATCAACAGCAGGGTCATGAGCCTCCAGTCCTAGAGTTCAGAATACAGAAGTCTAACTTCTCACAGTCCCTTTCCATACCAAACCAAAAGCAAAATATTCCTGAGCCAATTAACAGAACATCAAACAATATAATATTGGTATAGACTTAAGTAGTTTAATATCCCATTGACATACATAATCTTAGAGTTATCAAGAGTGCATAACCAACATATTTAAAAATACAGATCTATAATAATTCAGGTGGCATGCGTAGTCTGCAAAGGAACAAGTAATGGGTTTATTCCTGCTGAAAAGAGAAGAGAGAAAATAAGTTTCGGCCGTGGAGCCTTCCTCAGGTGTGAGCAGATATACAGTATATAATATATAATAGATATAATTGTTACTTCAGGTTAACTGTTTAACTTTAGGATGACAAGACCCAACCTGTCTCTTTCACTTTCTAATGATGGACTTTACCTAGAACTTTATTTTCATCTCACACAAATGCCTGTTTCTTTACACTTCAGGCTCCTGTGTCATTACACTTTACTCTAAATCCTGTCTTTATGTTTTTTTTGTCTAAAATCTTACTCCCATTCGTGTCTTTGTGACCAACTAGCTGATATTTTAAATTCTTTGACAACAGTTGTTCAAACCACAATCGTTCCTTTACAACACAGATAAGATAAAACTTCTTTCTGTAGCTCCTATGGGTTCTCTTTCACAGCATCTACTGTATCTGCAGAAAAACAAAACACTAAGCCCACTTGGTAA